TCCCCCCGGTATCTCCCGCTGTCCCCCCGGTATCTCCCGCTGTCCCCCCGCTGTCCCCGGTGTCCCCGCCGCTCTCCCCGCACCTGCTCGGCCGTGGCCGGGTCCATCTCCACCCTGCCGGCCTCGTACTCGTCCTCGCTGTTGTAGCCGCCGCCCGCCTCGTCGGGCCCGGGGCTGCCGCAGCCGGGGCCCAGCCCCAGGCCGAGCGCGATGCCGCCGGGGCCCGGTCCCGCGGGGCCGCCGCCGCTGGGCCCGGCCCCGCCGCGCCGCCGCCGCTTGCTGTGCCCGGGGCCGCCGCCGCCGCCGCCGCAGCCGCCGGGCCCGCGGGGCTCGGGCAGCCCCAGCGCCGCCGCCTCCAGCCCCAGCAGCGCCGCGGGGCCGTCGGCCGAGCCGGGCCCGCCGCTACCGGCGCCGCCGGGCCCCGCGGGCGGGGGGGACCCGGCGGCCGCGGCCCAGCCCCGCAGCGGCGGCGGCGGCGAGGCGCGAGGCCGCGGCCCCCCCACGCCGCCCGGACCGCCGGCTTCGCCGACGCCTCCGGGGCCTCGCTCGGGCCCCGCGTCCGCTCCGCGCTCGGGCCCCGCGTCCGGGCCGGAGTCGCCGTCGCCGTCGGGAGCCGGTACCGGCTTCTTCTTGGGGAGGATCGTCATGGCGGGGCGCGCATGGGGCGGGGGCGGGGGGCGGGCCGGGGGCGCGCGGCGCGGCGCGGGGCGCGGCGGGGCCGGGGCGCGGCGGCGGCGGCGGCGGCGGCGGGGCCGGGGCCGCCCCGGCGCTGAGGGGCCGCGGGCGCTGCGGCCGCCGGGGCCGTGTCAACATCAACAGCCGCCACCTCCGACCCCGCGCGCGCTTCCGCCTCGCCCGCGGCGCGCCGCGCCATTGGCTGCCGCGGGAGAAGGAGCGCTCCGATTGGTCCGCAGCCGGGAGGAAGTCCCGCCTTTCTTCTCCTCCGCCTCCGTGAGGGGAGGCGGGATGGGCGTTGCCATGGGGATGGAAGGGGAGAGCGCGGATTGGGCGAGGCGGGGAGGGACGGGCGGTGATTGGTTGGTTTTGGGGGAGGGAGGGGAGGGGGGAGGGAGGTGATTGGTTGGTGGAGGTGCCGGTTGAGCGGAGAGGGGAGGGGTGGATCGGTGTAAACGTGAGCGCTGATTGGGTGGCGGCACGTCAATCATCGCTGGGCGGGAGCAGCGAGGAGACGCCGAGCGTTGATTGGCGCGGGCTTAAACCCCGCCCACGTCGCCACCTTATTGGCTACAGCGAACGACCTAATTTCCTATTGGCTCAGGCGCGGCAGGGGCGGAGCCCAGCTGGGATCCCGCCCCTTTGAGGACCCCACTCATCTGTCAATCACCCACAAGCCCCGCCTCTTCCCCGCCCTCCCACGTGGTCCAACCCCCCAGGACCCCCCCCAGGAACCCCAAAAACTCACCAGAAACCCCCAAAACTCACCAGGACCCCTCAAAAACCCCCCAGGACCCCCAAAACCCCCCCAGAAACCGCCCAGGAACCCCAAAAACTCACCAGAAACCCCCAAAACTCACCAGGACCACCCAAAACCCCCCCAGGACTCCCCAAAAATCCTCAGTACTACCCAAAATCCATCAAGAGACCCCAAAAACCCTCCAGGTACCCCAAAAATGTGCCAGAACCCCCCCAAAGCCCCCCAAAACCCATCAGAACCCCCCAAAAAACCCCCCAAAAGCAGAGCCCGAGCTCCATTTCCAGCTCCTTTATTCAAACCCATCCCTGCCCCCCAGGAACGAGGGACATTCCCACGGCAGACCCCCAAAAACGAGGTGGGGATGCCCCAAATTTAGGTGGGGACCCCGAGAACAAAGCTGAGACCCCCAAAAACGAGGGGGAGGTCCCCGTGGGGAACACGGGGGCTCCGACCGCTCTCCCTGAGCTTTTTTGGGGGGGTCCCAAAATTCATCTCCAGGACCCTCCCGGTGCTGAACCTTCCCACGGGGGGGGTTCCCCGATGCTGAGGGGGGGGTCCCTCAGTCTGGGGGGGGGGTCTCAGTCGAGGTCTTTCAGTCTGGGGGGGTCTTTGGGGAGGGTCCTTCAATCTGGGGTGGTCTCTGGGGTGTCCCTCGTCCCCAGGGGTCTCTGGGGGGGGGGTCTCTCACCCCATGGGGGGGGTCAGGGGTCTCAGTGGGCCTTGTGGTGGGGTCCCTCACCCCATGGAGGGTTCCCTCATCCCTGGGTGGGGGTCCCTCACCCCTGGTGGGGGTCTCAGTGGCCTTGTGGCGGGGCCTGTTGTGGGGGGGGTCCCTCACCCCATGGAGGGTCCCTCACCCCTGGGTGGGGGTCTCAGTGGGCCTTTGTGGCGGGGCCGGTCATGGGGAGGTCCCTCACCCCATGGGGGGGTCCCTCACGCCTGGGTGGGGGTCTCAGTGGCCTTGTGGCGGGGCCCCTCACCCCATGGGGGTCCCTCACCCCTGGGTGGGGGTCCCTCACCCCTGGGTGGGGGTCTCAGTGGGCCTTGTGGCGGGGCCGGTCGTGGCCGCGCTGGGCCCGGGCCAGCTGCCGCCCGGCGTCCACGAGCAGCAGGCCGGGCACCAGCAGCCAGAGCCCGTTGAGCCCCACGAAGTAGCCCCAGAAGTAGAGGGGCCGCGGGTCGCTGTGCGCCCAGCCCGCCCGCGCCTCCGTGGCGAAGTACAGCACGTCCCCGTAGAGCTGGCCTGCGGCGGGGACAGGCAGGACATGGGGACAGGGACAGGGACAGGCAGGACATGGGGATGGGGACAGGGACAGAGGGACAGGGACAGGCAGGACATGGGGACAGGGACAGGCAGGGCATGGGGACAGGCAGGACATGGG